AGTACCTTTCCTCTCCCTGATCCTTTGCATCCAGTACAACCCAGCTACTAAATCCACTCCCTGAAAAATCTTGAGGCTTCTTCCCACCCAATATGCCTTTGCATCCCTGCATGGCGTGGCCACAGCCAGGGTCTCAGGTCAGTCCTGCCACAGTCTCAGGTCAGTCCAACACCCAAGTTCCTGAGGCCAAAATCATTCTTAGAAGATTCCAGACCTAAGGAGAAAGTCTGAAAACTTTGACCCACATTGGAATTGGGCCAACACGGAACTCCTGAAAGCAAAATCAATCCAGCCACGACAATATAAAATAAAAAGAGAGAACCAGAAGCTTAGACGAACCAGCTCTTCATACACAAAAAGTAAACCACAAAGACACATAAAGTTCAAAAAAAGAAGCAGAACTAAACTTGAAGGCCCGAGTATCACACAAGAGTCAGAAACTACAAAAGAAATTCACATGTCAAAATCACAGAGAAAAAATAATAACATGAAAAACCAAAATAACATAGCCCCACCAAATACCAGTAATCCTCTAGAGGAACACAATGAGAACCCCAACTTCTGAATGAATTCAGAAAAGAGCTAGAAATTTTGAAGAATACTCAGGCTGAAATAAAGAACGAAGTGAAACACTCCGTAAGCCAATTAGAAACGACAGGAGAAAGCCTCACCAATAGGATGAACGAAATGGAAAACAGAGTATCAAGACTGGAAGATAAAGTGGATGAACTGGACCACTCAAACAAAGACTATGAAAAATTTAAGAAATCACAAGAATGGAATATGCAGGAATTGAGTGATACCATAAAAAGACCAAACTTGCGAATCATAGGCATACAAGAAGGAGAAGAATCCCAAGACAATGGCATGGACCAGATTTTCAACAGAATTGTGGAAGAAAATTTCCCAAACTTAAAGAAAGACATGCCCATACAAATACAAGAAGCATACAGAACACCAAACAGACAGGACCACAAAAGAAACTCTCCACGGCACATCGTAGTAAAAACACTACACGCACAAAACAAAGATAAAATTCTGAAAGCTGCAAAAGAGAAAGAACAA